TTTTTTATATCTAATACTGTAGTACTTCAAAAATCCTCAATACAACTAGAAATACTCTAGAGGTTAATGTCATCAGCAAACTTTACTAATTATGCTCCTATCAATATCAGTGATGTAAATAAGAAACAGCAAAGGCCTTAGTATTGATCCCTGAGGCATTCCACTAATAACAAGGGACCAGTTTGACTGGATTTTATTAATAACAACCTTTTGCTTTCTCACATCCGATCACCTTACAACCCAGTTGATTATTCTTTCCCTGACACTAAAAAATGTAATATGTCTAGCTATTGATTTGTGTGGCACCTTATTAAAAGCTTTCCTAAAATCTAAGTACACCCAGTTCACGCTCTTTTCATTGTCCAGATGACAAGTGGCATCTTCAACAAACAAGTTACAGATAATGAGATAAGATTTTCTTTTAGTGAATAGAAGTTGGCTTTTTCGTGAATTCATATTTCCCTAAATGATTTTTCTAAGGTTCCTGTATCAGTCTCTAGAATTTATCCTACTACAGAAGTAAGACTGACCGGCTTGTAATTTCCATAAGCGATGAATACACTCATAAAACTGTGTTTTTATTATTATTATTTATCATCAGTCAATACACGATGAAGATGAAAAATGAATACTCCGGTGCAACAAAAATGAATACTCCGGTGCAACAGAGTGCTTATTTATTAAAATTATCAGTTAACAATCGGTAAAGATGAACACAGTGCTTTTTATCAAACTCACCCAGCAATACTTGATAAAAAAAAAGATTATGAATTCTGTGATAAAATACAAAGCGAAAACTGTTCCTTACTTTTCAATTCATGGGCAAGTTTTCCTAAAAAGCTACACTTCACAAGAATGTTATAATGATCATTTTATACTGACAATCTCAAAAAAGGAAATTTGAAATTCATTTCCACGAAAAGGAGCTGAAGGCTGCTTAGAGTAATCACCTGTTTTAACCAATCGCACCACTATACAGTAGTATGTTGTCTGTGAGTCAGTCAGTAGACACTAAAATGTTTAATTAAGTTTAATTAAGTGTGCATGTTACAGAACAAGGGTTGTAATATGGAGTTTCTCTATAGTGTAAGAATATCTTAAGGAGATAGATGTTTAAAGTTTTGAAATTAAAGAGTGTTCAAGAAAGAAAAAAATTAATAGGCTCGGCATGGCCAGGTGGCTAGGGCGCTCGACTCGCAATCTGAGGGTCGCGGATTCGAATCCCCGTCACACCAAACATGCTCGCCCTTTCACCCGTGGGGGCTTTATAATATTACGGTCAATCCCACTATTCGTTGGTAAACGAGTATCCCAAGAGTTAGCGGTGGGTGGTGATGACTAGCTGCCTATTCTTGCACTGCTAAGTTAAGGACGGCTAGCGCAGATAGCCCTCGTGTAGCTTTGCTCGAAATTAAAACAAACAAACAGACACTAAAATGACGTTACATAAGGGATGCTTAACGTTGCAGTTTGTACTGTAGAGACATCAGTAAAACGTGCGCATGCCATGAATTGCGAGAAACATTTTACACCCTGTAAGCTACAACATAGCATAGCATATGAACTTCAAAAGCAAGATATACAAATTGTTGTTACTCTTAATTTTGGTTTTATTTACTATCGAAACAGAACACTTTCGGGGACCCTGCGCAAGTACATCTAGTATATTAACCGATTTATAAGTAATATTTAAACTATTTCACACGTTATATAGAACCTAGCTTTCTATGTTTTTCATTGAAACGTGTGTTCGTTACAATCTACGTATATATCTACGTTTGTTTGTATCGTTAACAGGTACAAAGGCTTCTTAAAGGACTGCCCTGACGGACTCCTTACTGAACAGGTTTGTATCGCAGTTAAGTAATCTTCATGGGATTTACACGTCTTGTCCAATATGCCACACCAGTGGTTCTCAGCTCTTAACCTTTTCGGAACTAAGTATCGTTTTCTTGCCTATAACTTGTTTTTAAGTATCATCTCTTGAACAAAACCAGACATCAGTATTAGCATGATTGATGCAGTATTGTGTGCGAGGCCATTTCGTTTTGCGAGGGCAGGGGGATAACGTCGCCATCAAATTTAACCACTAGTGGTCAATTTTATTTCTTAAAGGAGTTTCATGGAATGTTGCGTGGGATATTAAGACATTATTTTCAAAAAATAGTAAATAATTATCGTACGCCATCCAAAACAGAACATGCTAGCGCATCACAGACTGAGAACCACTGTTTTGAAACACCTGTTTTGTTCTATTGCTTTTTTGTTTTTAAACACCTGTTCTCTTCTATTGTTTTTACGTTTTTAAACACCTGTTTTGTTCTATTGCTTTTATGTTTTTAAACACGTTTTGTTCTATTGTTTTATGTTTTATACACCTGTTTTATTCTATTGTTTTTATGTTTTTAAACATCTGTTTTTGTTCTATTGTTTTACGTTTTTAAACCCCTGTTTTGTTCTATTGCTTTTATGTTTTTAAACACCTGCTTTGTTCTATTGCTTTTATTTTTTAAACACATGTTTTGTTCTATTGCTTTTATGTTTTTAAACACCTGCTTTGTTCTATTGCTTTTATGGTTTTAAACACCTATTCTCCTCTATTGCTTTTATGTTTTTAAACACCTGCTTTGTTCTATTGCTTTTATGTTTTTAAACACGTTTTGTTCTATTGTTTTATGTTTTATACACCTGTTTTATTCTATTGCTTTTAAGTTTTTAAACATCTGTTTTGTTCTATTGTTTTACGTTTTAAACACCTGTTTTGTTCTATTGCTTTTATGTTTTTAAACACGTTTTGTTCTATTGTTTTATGTTTTATACACCTGTTTTATTCTATT